GATAAAACCCACAGTAAAAAATGCTAAAGAGATGTACTAAGGGTGAACACCCTCTAAACTTAGTAAAGCAAAGTCTTTGCTATGGAACCGAAAAGATACCTTAAGAATGGAGGTAGCGATCCTATGTTGCAGTTTTTATCGTGGTCGAGCACCACCACCACGTCACTTGTGTTTTCATGACAAGAAATTAGAACAATTTGAAACACACACAAACCTGACAACAACTTTCAATAATCGTTGGTTTTGTTTGTATTCTTGACAGTTCCTTGAACCGTTGTTTTGCACTTAGCTCATTTGAGTTGTTTGATTGAGCATATCAACTTTCACTGGCTCCTTTTTGAGTTGAGCATAGCATCTTCTTTACCCTGCAATAGAAAAGAAAGAGCAGTGCTGGTGTTTTCAAACGTTGAGTATTTCAACACAAATCCTTGATCGCCTCTAGCCTATCTTTTATCGTTGATCATTCTAGAGCATACCTCTTTTAACTCGTTGCAAGCAGCTTCGCTTTCTTGTCTTCCTGTTTCAAAGAAAAGCCCTAAACGAACTTACCTTGCGAGGTGGCGAGAGTGGACCGGGCCGGTCAAGGATCATGATGTTGTTTCTCAGCTCCCAGGTCTTTGCGTTGAGCGCAGCAAGAATATAACTCAAAGCGCTGACAATCTCTCCAAAACGTTGACACAAAATCTCTCCAATCTAGTAGCATTTTTCTTCTTGGCACACGCTGTGACATGGCGTTTTTCTTATCGTCGTTGACAGCACCAGCATGTCACTTGGCTTCTTCATGACAAGAAATTAGAACAAATCGAAACACACGCAAACCTGGCAACGTGAAACTCAACTTCCAATGATCATTAGTTTTGTTAGTATTCACACAGCGTTGTCCACGTCGGTGGTTTCCTTTCGCGTTGAGAATTCCTTGGCCCGTTGTTTTGCACTTTGCTTGTTTGAGTTGTTTGAGCATATCATCTTAGCTTGACTGTGTCACTGGTTCCCTTTTGCAATCGAAAAGAAAGAGCGTGGTGTCTTCAAACGTTGAGAGTTTTAACACGAATTCTTGATCGCCTCTAGCCTTTCTTTTATCGTTGATTATACCTCTTAGCTCGTTTCTTGTCCCCAGCAAATCTCTGTCTCTTCATCAACGATGAACCCTAAACTTGGGCTAAGTACCACTATGTTTAGTCCACGAGCTACTTAATTACTCGTCGCTGATCGGACAGCCTGCTGGATGGCTCTTCTGTGCTGCTGTTGCGTGCCTGCACAGTAAGCTTCTGGATCTCAGCTGGCGATAGGATCCGTATCATCGTGAAAACTCCCTGAAATGTAAAAACTCTTAACAAACACACCATGAAATGCACATACGAGATCTTACTCCCAGGTTGTCGCCTTCGTTACCTATGTACACAGCTTGCCACTCGGACCCGTTCAGGTTCTCGTCAATGCAAACAGATGCTGCAGCCCTCCAGGAGTTGCGTGTGTCCCAGAAACTTGGACAATTCCAAAGCTCGAACCTTTGAAAAGTAGAAGAGATTCTGAGTCTGGCGCTTCAGATAAAGAATGAGATCTTACTTTGGTGCACGTCCTGCTTGGTTGCTGTTGTTGCTGCTGTTCTGGCCAGTACCTGAAGCCGGAAGCTTCCAACTCGAGATCTTTATCGACGTCGTCTTTGGCGGTGCTGGCCAAAGCTGTCTTTGGTTTCAACGAGAAACCAAATAGTTTGCACTCGCAGTCAAAATCGTTTGCATTACCTCTCGCAAGGGGCTCCTCAACTTCTGAAAGAACACAAAAGAGTAGTAAGAAGTGATTTACTTACTGCGTGTTACGGCGAGGACAGCATAGGCGACATGAGAAGCTTAAGAAAAGACTTGTCTGTTGTATGTTGCTGCAAGTATACTGGGCAACTTAATGCTACTTGCCAATAAGCGAAGTTGCTGGTTGGAGAAGGCTGCTGCGGTCTCTCGAACTGTGGAGGAACCTTCTGCTCTCGAAACTGCTGACCCCAAAGCGTAAGCTGCCATAAATCGACTTTACTATGAGATGGTAGCCCCTCCTTTCCGGGGCTTGGCAATCCAGAAGGAAAACCGGGAGCACTATGACCCTCAGTAGCACTTGGAGTTATCTTAGCCTCGGAATAGAGAGCTGTAGGAAACTTCAGGAGAATCGTCAGCTTCGTACTTGTGAGAGGTTTGCAAATTACAGCTGGCCTGTAAGAAGATTGTCGTATGACTTTCGACTGGCACCTGATTGAATTAAAAGTGCATCGAGATGTACTTATGTCTGTGGGAGTCACATTGGGAGCAACAAATGGCTTTCGTGACAACCTCTCCTGTCTTTCACTAGCCGCGTGCTCGTCCCAACCGACCTTATATAAGAAAGGAAGAAGCTGAAAAATGCGTCACTTGAAGACGAGACTCTTTACCTTTAGGAACTTAGGAAGCGCCAGTTAGAGTCTGGGATGGTTATCGCCAATTTCAGTAATAGTTCCCATATATCTGACACTACCGAGCACTGTAGACAAAACAAGAAATTCACTTCAAAACGATTTACCTTCTTTCCGACGAATCCTCAGTCTCAAATCTCATTTTGAAAGCGCATACCAATCAAAATGTTCATCTTGAATGATTTCAGTACTTGTGGGATGGAATGACAAATTCAGCTGGACTAGCCCTGAAGAACACCACTTTGCCGTGTTAAATCCAAAGAATGTCAAACCGAGGATTATAGAACACGGTGAACATGGTCTTCGTGAATACAGCATGAGCAGCAGCAGCCAGGACTCCAATTTGCATACTGTGGCTAGACAGTAGCGCAGACGAAGTGAGACTGCCCTGCGTGCACACAGCACACCTACTCCCGATTCTCAACTCACCATTATCTCCCCTACGTGTTATGTAATATTGTAATACGGTATGAAAAACAGAAAAAATCAGTAGCTCACCTGACAAAAGAACGGTATCGCCAGCCACAACCTTCTTCTGGCTTACAAACACACTCCATCCTTCGTCAAAAGATGCCTTCGTGGTTGTCCTGGATAAGAGCAGAATTTTGTAAGAAAGTATAGCCAAAAACTATGTACGAACCTGCGGAATTTCCATTCAATTTTGCTGATAATCCCGGAATCGAGGATATACGAGCCTCGGTTTAGAGAAGCTCCTCGGTTTACTGCTCAGAATCCGGAAGTACAAACGGATATGACGGAGTATGTTTCATTCAACGCTGTGCAAGAAGCTCCAATGGAAATGGTGGAAGAAGAAATGCCCGGAGAAACGCTAGTTTTAATCGCAAAGCCCCGAGACACAGGTTATGGCCGCTTAAAGTGGAGATGTGGGCGCTCACAGCATGGTAGCTGAGAAAACGTCCACGGGGAAAATAACTCGTTCAGACGATTATGAGGAGCAGGACCACTCTCCAGTTCTGGCTGGCTGAAGCTGAGGAGTTAGAAAGGAAAGAAGAAGAAGCTCGACTGAAAGAAGCTTGACAAGAAGAAGAGAGAATGAAGTTCGAGGAAGCAAGTACAGGACTTGCACGGCTCTGGTTCTGGTTTGTATTGACTCAGATTTTTTATTTTTCCTCGTGAAACTACGAGCCCGAGCGGCTCTGTCATCAATGATCCTTGGCTTGCCGATCCAACACGGACGAAAGTACGTTTCTCGAGTCACAAAGCCAAAGAAGACTTGGACCGTTTAAAAACGCATCGAGTCTCGCTTCTCAACAGCATGGAAGTTCTTGGACGTGTCGGAAATAGTTTCTCCGGTTCTCAGAGCTAAGAATCCACGGGCGAGAACTATTTACTGGAAACTGCTTTTCTGCATGTTTGTCCAAGTGAGAAAGAAGGGACGAGATTCCTTGGTTCAGGTCGAGCTGGAGGCTGAATCACCGGTGGGGGAACGAGGGGAGACACCGGGAGAGCTCCCACCGAAGATGACGACCCGCTCACAGCTCCCACTGAAGAGGAGCCAAGGAAGAATTCAGGAGCGGCTTGGAATTCCTCGTCCCCTCAAAGTAAGAGTCCATCACTTCAGAAATAGCTTGGCGTTCTAACAGTAAAGGTTCAGCCTTTGAATCTACCCGTTTCATCAGGTCGATCACAAGCGATGCGTGCCAAGTTAAGCTGTGAGCCCTGCAGTCATCGTTAAGAAAGACGTTGATGTGGCTGAGATTGTCTACAACCTCCTTCCAACGGTGATCCCATAGATTTCTTGCCTCCCTCCAAATACGACGGTACCTTTATCGTCCGTATAAAAGCACACTATAACTTCCCCGTTGAAGATCAGGGGGCGGCTCATTCTCCGCAGCTTCTCCGTGAGAAACTCACTCCAGAGCTTGTTTCAGCAATGCTCGTCCTATATTCCGCTTTATTCCCTTGTACTGCTTCCAGCCGGTCACAGCTTTGGGCAGTGTCGACATTCCCATCCACGTCGCAAGCTCTGCCCGTTGATGGTCCGTCCACCACAAACCTGTCCTTGAACAATCGCAGTTCAAACCGTGTTTTAGAAGAAAACAAACAAGTTCCTTTCATACCTTCTTGTCATGTATCCATCTTTTCATCTTTTGTGTGCTCTGTATCAGTGTCTTCGGATTGCCAGTCATCAATCACAGTGAGAAGCTTCTGTAAGCCCAACTTTCAAGTTAGTCCATGTCTTGTATCGCCCGAATCTCCTCCATTTCCCTGTCTTGCCCATGGAGTGCCGGCCTACCACAAGGCAAAATCTCTCTTTGATTATATGAAGGAGCGTCACTCAGACGCTGCTTTCCGCATCAGAGAATCCAGTTGATGCCAGAAGAACTCTTGAGGATAATCTCATCGAATATATTCCACGCAAGGGCATCTGCCAGAGGCTAGGGGAATTTTCGACTCTACCATAGAGAGGAACGCCGTGTCTTGGACAAGTATGTTGGCACTTTACGCTCGAAATGGGCATCTTACCGATGCTCGAGGAATGACTCCAGAAAGTTCGCTAGCTTCCTACGAGAAGTCATTCTAACACTCCAACGCGAATGGGTGGAGTTATCTTCTGTGAATAGAGCAATGCTAGAGAAGAATTTTGGATGAGGAGGAGGAGAGCAACGGAGGGCTCTCCCACACATCGAACAAATTCTCGTCGCTGTGGAGCACAAACAATCTGTCGCCACCAACGTCAATGTCCGCGATGCCGCCACTGCCGCCGCCTCCTCCTCCGCCACTGACACTGAGCCTGGCGGTGGCGGGCAGCAGCGAGCAGCTCGCGGAGGCGGCGGACGACAGCGCTACCGCCGAGCACGAATGCACCAGCACCGCCTCCTCCCGTGTCGAAAAGAGCTGCAAATTCTCTGAGCTGGGATCGCTGGCGTTGATCCGGAGCTTGGAATACAGATGCTCTTCCATCTCGGACCGCTTGAGCCGCTGGAACATGTGGCTCCAGCACGCCGGGGCGAAAGCGGCGCCGCTACCACCCCCGCCACCACCGCCCATCCTCGTATCGATGAAGCCCAGCTCGTCCGATTGATCCACCACGCAAATCATGTTCCTGTTCTGGATCGCCACCGCGTCCATGATGAGGGGCTGGCTTCGCATCTCGCAATCGCTCCACTCCCACGCCTTGGTCCTCTGCCGGCGATCCAGCAGCGTGAGGAAGCAGTGATCGCTGTGAGGAAACATGGACGCCACCAGCAGGAGATTGCTGGATGGCAGCCACTGGAGCTTGGATCCACCGCCGCCCTCTCCCGACGTCACGAACCCTACATTCCTGCCGGACTCCTGGTCCCAGATCCCCACGCCACGCATCCTGCTGCTGGCAAACACCTCGCAATCGCTGCTGGCGCACGCCAGCGCCATGAAACTCCGGCTAGAATCGTCCAGCTCCAGCTTCATCCGCTGGATCAGCTTGCCAGTGGCGGCATTCACGCAGCCCAGGCCCCCGATGTCGCCCCTGTCCGCCGCGCACACCACCATCCGCAAGGGATTCCTGGGGAGGAACCCGAAATCGTTGACGCTCATGAAATCCAGCGTCACTGGAGGGAGCTCCTCGAGAGACCAGTCGTAGACATGGATCATGGGTCCGTGCGCCACGCCGCAGCCACCGCCAGGTGACGCGCGGATCGCCACGGCGTCCGTGGTTGCACGGCCCCGTACCGACGCGCGGCACCGGACGCGGTTGCCGTCGAGCGGGCTGCCCCACGACGCGGCCTTGACGTGGCGGTCAATGCCGTAGAAGACCGCCTCGCGGACGAGCATACCGTGCGGTATGCCGTGCGGTGTACGGAGCTCCCCTGTTCGCAGGAGATCGAGCAGCACGGCGAAGAGTGCCGGATCCCGGTCGATGAAGATCTCGTCCTGCTCGTGTCGCTGTGGATCTCTTGTGGCGGGCTCCCAATTCTCGTTCAGGAGGCTGCACAGCATCGAATCGGCGCCGGCATTGGCAATTGTAGTGCTGCTGGTGATGAATGGGGTGCCGCCAACATTGATTCGGACGCGGTCACTGCGTTTCAGTGCCATTCGTTGAGAATCCCTCATTCTTCTTCGCCTCTAGGAGCCCTACCTCTCCAGCGCAAGAACCCTACGGAATTGTTTCGCCAGCAGACCTTGCCAGAGTTTAGAACTGCCGGCGGTTGTCGACGAGGGAAAGAAGCTTTGGGGGGTGGAGTGATAAGTTGCCGAGCGTTCTGGGGTGGCGTTTAAAGCTTGAGCCGGGAGGTGATCAACATATAGAGAGCTGGATCGATGATTCAGCGCTACTGGAAAAGAATGCTCTACTCCCTTTAGAGTATATTATAGGAGTTCCGGCACAGCATGTCTGGCTTGGAGAATTCTTGCTGGCGACCATTACCCTCAGCAAGCTCTTGAACATCAAGCTAAGACATGGATACCTTGTTCATAGACATTTTGTATTTTGTATATTTTGTATTTTGTTCAAGTAATAATTGTTTAAATTACGGTTTAGTAGGACAAATTCATACAAAATGTTATCAGAAGAACCACCAAAGAGATTGCCATACACTTTGATGTCTTTGACCGTTGACAGGCGTGTTTTACGGTTCTTGGCGACCCGGAACGATATAAGGCCTTCCTTTTGAGACCAAGTTTATTGTTATCCAGATTTGGAGAGATGATTGGAGGCGATGGCAGCAGCAGCACGATCGAGCTGCGTCAGTCACTACACGTCTCGGCTGCGAGAATGCTCGGACCGCAGGGCGCTGGCGGAGGGCAGGATGGTTCATGCGCAAATCCTGCAAGAGCTTGGCGGGGCCGATGTCGATGCCGGCGGCGTGGTACTGCTGGAGAATTTGGTGGTGGAGATGTATGGGAAATGCCGGAGCGTGGTGGAAGCGCGGCAGGTTTTTGATGCTTTGGGATGGCGCAAGAATGTTTTCAGCTGGAGCATCATCATCTCGGCATATGCGCAGAATGGGCATTTTCGAGAGGCATTGCAACTCTTCCAGGCCATGGATTTGGAAGGCATGCAGCCCAATTCCTTCACTCTCAGCAGCGTTGTCGCGGCCTGCTCCGGCCTCGAGGATCCGTTGCAGGCGCGCGCCATTCATTCCCGGATCGTTGGCGCTGGATTTGGGAGCGATGAGTTTGTAGCGACTGCCATGGTCGCAATGTTCTCTCGCTGCGACGGCTGCTGGATTGATGCCAAGGCGGTCTTTGATGGTATGGCTTCCAGGAGCGTCGTTTCGTGGAATGCTGTCATCTCAGGAGCGATTCGGGGTGGAGAGAAAGATCAAGCTCTGCGGCTCTTGTGGAGAATGGACAACGAAGGCACCAAACCCGACCAATTCAGCCTCACCACCATTCTCTCGGCCTGCTCTAGTGTCCGCGAGTGTAGAGAGTTCCACGCAAGGATCCAGGCGAGTGGCTTCCAGGCAATGCTCGCCGTGCAAAACTCTCTCATGGATTGCTATGGGAAGTGTGGGAGCTTGCGAGATGCAAAGATGGTTTTTGACGAGATGGTCGAGAGGGACGTGATCAGCTGGACATGCTTGATCGCATCTTACGTCCACAACGACGAAAGCAGGGAGGCCATCGCCATCTACGAGCTCATGGAGGAGTCTGCGAGGAGATCACTGTCGTCATTGCAACCAAACGTATGCACCTTCACCGCCGTGGCGGAGGCTTGCTCGATAGTTGGAGCGCTAGAGCAGGGGAGAGCTCTCTACTCGCGGATCAAGTCGAGAAAGCTGGCAGCAAACTCGGCGGAGCTTGGAGGTGGGATCGTCAACATGTTTATCCGGTGTGGGAGCCCCGAGGAAGCAATGGTGGCGCTCAAGGAGACATGTGTGGCGAGCGTAGCGGCATGGAACTTTGTCATCGCCTCGATCGCGCAGGCTGATTCAAGTGCTGCTGCCGACGTGCTCGAGCTGTTTGGAGAGATGGCGCTCGAAGGCACCAAGGCGGATGGCGTGACTTTTGCTGCCGCGCTTGGAGTGTGCACAAACCACGTCGATCGAGGCAAGTCACTCCATTCGTTCGCTCGCGACGCCGGGCTGGATCGGGAGAACGCCGTGGGTGCAGCATTGATCGCCATGTACTCGAGGTCCGGGAGACTGGACGAGGCGTGGACAGCTTTCGAGAAGATCCGTGAGAAAAGCGTGGTGGCGTGGAGCTCGCTCATGACCGGCTACGCGCAACAGGGAAAGAACTGGCGAGCTTTGCAGCTCTACGAGGAGATGATCTTGGAGAGTGAGGTGTTGCCGGACAAGTTTACGTTTTCCACGATTCTTGGAGTGTGCGCGGAGCTGGGAGCTGCCGAGGAGGGCCGGCGAGTCCACTCGCAAATGCTGGCGTGCCTGGGATTCGAGCGAGACGCTGTCCTTGGCACGTCCCTGATTGATATGTTTGCCAAGTGTGGAAACATCGACGCTGCCAAGCTCGTCTTCGATGGAATGCTGGAGCGGAACGTCCAGACGTGGACGACGCTCGTCGCGGGGCTTGCTCGCCACGGACGAGGCGAGCAAGCGGTGTGGTGGCTCCGCCGGATGAGCATGGAAGGCTTTTGCGCGGACCAGGCAACCGTGACAACGATCCTCCATGGATGCAACCACGGCGGCTTGATCGACGCTGGGCGCTGCTGCTTTCGCCTGGCGGGTGGCGAGTATGGGATCCAGGCGAGCTGCGAGCACTACGATTGCGTGGTCGATCTGCTGGGACGAGCTGGGCGATTGAAAGACGCGGAGAGCTTGGCCGCTGCGATGGATGATCAAGCGCCTTGGCGGATTTTGTTGGGCGCTTGCCGAATTCATGCCGATTTGGCTGTGGCCAAGCGCGCAGCTCCGAGAGTGGTGGAGGAATCACACTCGCACGCCATGCTCCTCTCCAACATTTACTCGGACGGTGGCGCCAAGTAAAGAAGAGAGTAAAGAATCTCTTTGAATTTGGGCGAATCTGGACGTATCAGGGGATCTGCCACGCAGGGGAATCTCCAGCCTGGCAGTTTTCTACCACGTGGCACTCGACATGGCTTTATAAAAAGAGCAAGCTCGGCAATCAATCAGCGATCGTGGTGTTGGTCTTCGTCTCTCTCCTTCGTCCGAGTGTTTGAAGTTTGGGAGGGAGGAGTTTCTTCCATCGGTTCGATCGATCGTGGGTGATTAGCTTTTCGAGTCGGCCATGGCGAGCAGGATGATCGATGGAGCGTCCAACACCAATGTGGCTCAGCGCTTGAAGCAGAAGTCTCCCGAGTCGAGCCGCGTGCTTCGAATCGGCGGAGTTCTTGCTGGGATCGTGACGGTGATGGTGGCGGGGACGACGGCGGTGGGAGGAACCATGGTGGCGCTGTTGGTGGCGTCGCCGCTGCTCATCTTGTTTAGCCCGGTGCTGGTGCCGCTGGCCATCGCCGCCGCAGTAGTGCTTGGGTGTCTCGTCTCCTTCCTCGCGGTGGTGGCGATGGTGGCGTGGCTGTACAAGTATGTCAAGGGACGCCGCCCCGTGGGTGCTAACCAGGTGGACGCTGCCAAGAACCGCATTGTGGACACGGCGTCGCAAGTCACCGAGAAGGCCCGCGAGGTTGGATCCAACGTCAGTGGCTACCTCCACAACAAGACCAACGCGTGAAACCAGCGCGTTGAATAAGCTTGCTCGCAAGCTTCTCGGAGAGATTCGTGGCTAGCTTCCATGCTAGCCATGGAGATGAATCGTGTTGTCTGTATTCTTCTTTGGTTTCAATCGAGTATCTAAGTTGGTTTCCTTGTCTTGTTCTTCGGGTTCTTCCGTGGAAGTGGTAGCGGTAGCACCAGCGGCATAGCTGTTTGCGAGCGTGAGATAGGCGGCGTCGTTGCTGGGATCGATCTCCACGATGTTCTCGGCCGCCACCTTGACGTCGCTGGCCTGGCGGTGAGTCCGGCACGCGCTGAGGAACGTCCTCCAGGTGATGTCGGTGGGGAGAAACGGCATGTTATGGATCAAGTCCTCGGCATCGCTGAGCTCCCCGGATCGCCCGAGCACGTCCACGATGCAGCAGTAGTGCTCCCTCACCGGCTGGATCCCAAAGTCGCCCACCATGGACGTGAAGTGCCGCCAGCTCTCGCGGAGAAGCCCGGCATGGCTGCACGCCGTCAAGACGCTGCTGAAGGTGATGGCGTTGGGCTGGCCGCCGCCGTCGCAGTTCATGCAGCGGAAGAAGAGCAGCGCGTCGCGGCAGCGTCCATACTGCGAGTAGGCGGCGATCATGGCGTTCCACGACATGAGGTTTCGATCGGGGAGCTTGTCAAACATGGCCTTGGCGGCGTCGAGATGGCCGTTGTGTGCGAAGGCGGCGACGAGCGCATTCCAGGAGACCATGTTCCACTGCGGCATGAGATGAAAGACGAGCTCGGCCTGGCGCGGATCGCCGCGGCGGGAGCTGGCGGCGAGCATGGCAGTCCAGGCAATGATGTTTCTCTTCGCCATGCCATCGAACATCTCCTTTGCCTGGTCGACATAGCCATGGAGGGAGAAGGAGGCGAGCATGGTGACTACCGCCACGCCATCCCTCTCGGGCAGGGAATCGAAGAGCTGCTTGGCGCTGTGGATGTCGCCGTGCTGGGCGTGAGCGGCGATCACCGCGGTGCACGCCACCACATTGAGCTGCGGCATCCGCGCGAAGCACGCCAGAGCCTGGGTGGTGTAGCCACTGTCCACCATCGCCTGGACCATGGTCGCCCAGGAGACGATGTTCCTGTGCGGCATGTCGTGGAAGAGGGCGAGAGCGCGGTAGAGCTCGCCCCGGACGGCCAGCGCGTGGATCATCATCGTCCATGACACCACGCTCTTGTCGGGCATGTCGTGGAACACGGCTTGGGCGCGATCCAAATCGCCCTGCGATGCATAGGCGTGCGCCATGGCGGTGGACGCGATGACGCTTACGTGCGGCATCACGGCAAATACCCGCGCTGCCATCTCCAGATGCCCTATCCGGGCATAGCACTGGAGCATCCCGTTCCAGCTCACCTCGTCGCGCGCGGGCATTCGATCGAACATCCGCTTGGATTCGTCGACTAGCTCAGCCTCGGAGAAAGTGACGACGATGGTGTTCCAGGAGACCACGTCCCACTGCGGCATCCGGTGGAAGAACTCCAGCGTGGGGTAGATTTGCCCAGTTTGGGCATTTGCGGTGAGCATGGAATTCCACGACACAACGTTCCTGTTTGTCATCCTGTCGCCGAAGAAGAGGTGGGCGGCGGCGCGGATGCCGTCGCTGTGCAGCCGCGCGACGGCGGTGATGAGGACGTTCCAGGAGAAGACGTCCGGCTGCTCGATCGAGTCGAAGACGCGCTGCGCGAGATCCAGGCTCCCGCACTTGGCGTACATCCCGACGAGGTGATTGGCGAGGTAGCGATTGCGCGCGAGGCCCTCGTCGGCGATGGCGGCGTGGATCCGCTTGCCCTCGGCCACATCGCGCGCGCCCCCGCAGCTCCGGAGCGATCGAGCAATCGCCTCGAGCCGCTCGGGCAAGACGGGCATCTAGAGCGGTCCTAGTGGCGGTACGGCCGTACGGAAGGTCTCCGCCCCAGTTCATCCTCTCTTCCAATCAGGGTTTTAGTGGTCGGATGTTCTCAGCGCGCCTAGGGTTTTGTAGCTTGTCCAGCTCCAGCGCCAGCGCCTGTCGATTCGCCGCCGCCTCCTGCGTCTCCTCCGCCGCTGCCGCCGCCATCATCTTGGCCCGGAGAAGCGGCATTGGATCCGCGGCGGCGCCAGTAGCAGCGGCATCGTCAAGAGGTTCGTTGTCGGCGGTAGCAACCCTGGCGCAGAAGATTGGCAAGTCGATCCGTGGCCCCGGCGCCATGTCCAAGGCCCGGATATACGCCGATGTGAACGTGCTGCGCCCAAAGGAGTACTGGGACTACGAGTCTCTCTCGGTGGAGTGGGGGTGAGGCTTTTGTTTCGTTTTTTTGTTGGATCTAGATCTCTTCTTCTTCTTTGGGTGGCAGTGACCAAGAAGAATATGAGGTTGTGCGAAAGGTGGGTCGAGGCAAGTACAGCGAGGTGTTTGAGGGCATCAATTGCGTGAACAACGAGCATTGTATCATAAAAATCCTCAAGCCCGTGAAGAAGAAAAAGGTACTGCCACTGAGCTCTAGCCTGTTGTGCTGGCTATGGCTAGATTCTTTTATCTCCTTCTCTTGCAGATAAAGCGTGAGATCAAAATTCTCCAGAATCTCTGTGGTGGGCCAAATATTGTCAAGCTTTTGGATATCGTCCGGGACCAACAATCGAAGACGCCCAGCTTAATCTTTGAGTATGTCAATAACACGGACTTCAAGACCTTGTACCCGACGCTGACGGACTACGATATTCGCTACTACCTGTATGAGCTTCTCAAGGTGAGGTTTTTTAACCCCATGTGGATTGGACTTGGGAGGATTTTGATCTTGCTTGTTTTTGCAGGCACTCGATCACTGCCACTCGCAAGGAATTATGCACAGGGACGTGAAGCCGCACAATGTGATGATTGATCACGAGCAGCGCAAGCTGCGGCTCATCGACTGGGGCCTGGCAGAATTCTACCACCCCGGAAAGGAGTACAACGTTCGCGTTGCTTCAAGGTGTGGAAAAGGCGTTGCTTGAATGTGATCTCAATTCCAATAATTTGTGTGCTGTCGCTTCTCACGTCAGATACTTCAAAGGTCCGGAGCTGCTTGTGGACCTGCAGGACTACGATTACTCTCTCGACATGTGGAGCCTAGGCTGCATGTTCGCTGGAATGGTGAGTCTTTTGTCTGATCATTCGTACTTGCTAACGCCCCAAGCTTCACAGATATTTCGCAAAGAACCATTCTTTTATGGCCATGACAATCACGATCAGCTGGTGAAGATTGCCAAGGTTTTAAACGCAGAATGTCTGTTTCTTGCTGTTTTTGACGTTGGCTTGTGGTGTTTAGGTGTTGGGGACAGACGAGCTGAATGCGTATCTGAACAAATACCACCTGGAGCTTGATGCTCACTTCGAAAGCATGGTCGGCAGGTCTGTTCTCTTTCTTTCCCTGCCAATTTTGTCATGTTTATCCTAACATGCTGTCCTCGCAGACACAGCAGAAAACCCTGGTCGAAGTTCATAAACAACGACAACCAACACCTGGTGAATCCTGAGGTGAGCGAGTGTTCCAGTCGGTGAGCGTGACGATTGAGTGTTTTGTGTACGCACGCAGGCTCTGGATTTTCTCGACAAGCTGCTACGATACGATCACCAAGAGCGACTGACCGCCAGAGAGGCTATGGTGAGTGATGATTGGGTTTCGTGGAGTAGTAACCTTCGTCTTTTGGTTTTGTTTCCAGGCGCACGCGTACTTTTACCCGGTTCGTCTCTCGGAATCAAACAGCAGGAGGAGCTGAGGAAGATCGGTTTCGATTTATTGCGGTGGTATCTCTCGTAATTGACAGTGTATGATTTAAATTATTCTACCAGCAGTCCTTCATGATCTTTGATCTTTCCAGCACGAACTTGCCTTCCTTGTATTTTTGCGAGTGCTCGTAGGCCCGCTCGTATTTCCATCCCAGCAGCTCGTGGCAGTGCGCGCAGGAGATATCCGCCACCGCATGCAATCCAGTCATGAGGTGCCTGTCCTCTCTTGGGCCGACCACTACATTATCCACGCCCCCCAGTAGGTATGCTCGGCCATTTCGTCCCTGCCGGAACAGTGGAGCGTGAGAGAATTGGAGAGAAATCCCAATTCTCCAAGCGAAGAGCTGTAGAAGCGAACCTGGAAGGCAGTGGAGATGACGTCGCTGTGATCCGCAACGTTGGAGCGGCAATTCGCGCAGCTGTAGAGACGAGCTCCAGCACCGCCGCTCAGCAGCGGCACCACCGTCTCATCGCTGCTGCTGCTGCTGCCGCTGATGCTGCTGCTGCTGCTACTGCTCATAATACCTGGGACGAGAAAGACCTCTCTCACGCTTTGTCAGTCAGCGGAAACGAAGGAAATTTGCTTAGCTCACTGGACTAAACCACGGACGGAGAGCTTTGACCTTCTCGGCTCACGTACAGCTCATGCGCTCTTGAGTCGCTTCCGGAAGAGCGCCCGAGTTGCCAAAATGGAGACTGCCGACGCTACAGTGACGCTGCAGCCAGCCAGCAGGAGCATTCCATTGAGGGAGGGCCTCTCTTGCTGGTACACTCGCAGTGTCAAGCTCTTCCAAAAGCTCTCCGTCCACACAGGATCGATGCTGTCCATAAAGTCGCCGCTTCCCACGGGAAGGAGCTCCCAGTTGCCAGATTTGTAGCGCAAACGAGTCGAGTATGCCGGTACGTACCTGCAAGTTTGAAGTTCCGAGTTTGGCAAAATAGATTTAGCGGGAGAAACTTGACCTGGTTGTAGAGACCACGCAGGAACCTCTGCCTTGTCCAGTCGCACCAACGCAGACTTGGTCCTGCCCCTTACAGTCCTTCGAACACTCACCGGCGTCGAGCCTCCTTGTGCGATCAGCTAAAAAGTTCCAGATGAATCTGGTGGTGTCGTCAAGGAGATCATCGGAAGGCGTAGGAGATGGAGCTCCGGTGACAACACCCACGTAGTGGTTTGGAACCGGTTGAGCTGGCGTGATGAAGCCCGTCACCAGCGGACAATTCATTCCTGGATCTGGCGTCAAAAGGCAGCTGATGAGATCCTTGACCAGCGAACTGTTGACAGCAACGGAGTCAAGTTTAGCGGAGCTATCACCCATCGCGAGCTGATATATAGCTCGAGCCACGATGGAGGATGCAGCTACAATAGACTCGGGATTCAAATTGTCTGCAGAGGGACAACACAGGTTGTTGACGATCACAATTAAATGTACAGCTCCATTATACTCACCAGCATTATCAAAAAGACTATGATAAAACTTGTTCTTGAAGCTAGTATCGAACTCCTCGAGAAGCACTCCAGTGAGGGAGTCACTCTGGAGAACATTGTTTAGACGCTGGCACAAACAAGCAATTGGCCCACCTTCTGTACAAATGACATCATAGACGAGGGAGGTATCCCGGGGTTTTCACTGCTTGCAGTTGTGATTTGAGCGTTAACACTTTCAGCCGAGCGTTTAAGACTAGCTACAATCTCCTTGGTCGAAGCAGAGGCCTGTAAATTTTACTGGATAAGATCAAAGAAGCAGGAGAAGTTGAGTGCGGACCTACGTGCTTATCTTGAACGTGGCCGTAAAATGTATTCTCCACCGCTTGCCCCACAGATCCGATCTCTAAAATCTGTTTAAATAAATAAACTAATCTTTTGCCACGAACCAGAAAAAAAAAATGGACCTGATCAATATGTGACATGTTGAAACCGAAAGCTGAGCCCCCTCCATATTCAAGCTCAAAGAGAAATCTCCGACTGCCAAGATAGCCCCAGGCCTCACCATTACATACTAGAAAAACCACCTATTACGGAGCAGAAGATAGAAAACAAAAACGAATCTCGTAAAAAACTTATCACCTGTTTGGTGGCATTGTGAATCCCGTCGGCCTTTGACAGAGCATCGACAGCCACAAGAAGAGAGATCAAGCCCTGCAAACAACAGTGTCAGGAAATGAGAAACGAGAGAAAAGGAAACGCACAGAAAGAGGAGAATCAGCTCCTGGTGTGAAGTCCCGAAAGAAAGAAATGGAGTCCATGGCTGCCAATACGAGCAGAGTTGGCTTCGAGGTTATTGAAGAGAATGACGACAAGATGCTGCAGATAAATCACCAAACAGATGCTTGACGGCAAACAATTGAAGCACACGATACCTGTACCCTCCAAGAGGCAAACAAGAACCTTCTTTTAGACATGACTCCGACGTGTGCGTTCCCGATTTGGTGGTCTGTATGTCTCATGTACTGTAAGCAACATCCGTGAGTGATTATGGCAGACCTGCATGACCACATCGAATTCAGCCACTTGGAGGGGGTATTTGGCATTCCTTGCTTCGTTCTCGGCTGCAATCTAAATCAGCACCATGAACCTCGTAATGTAGTTGTCGTTCAAAAATTTTCCGTTAAAACGTACCTCTCGTAAACCTCTGGTGCTTTCTGGGGAAAGAAGATATACTGGAAAGTTGTAACGTTTTTGGAGAACATCTGTCCCCTAAAACAGAAGAGTGAGATATTTGCAGTTGCGTGGTTTCATAGCAAAAAACTTACCAATGGATTCCATTGGTATGTCTTGTTACTGTAAGGAGCGAATTCTGCCAGCGGGAACTTTGAGTCTAGTTTGTGAGAAAAAGAAAAAAGAAAGAAAGCGTAAGAACAAGCATAGAAGAGTAGAGAATTTGACACAGTACCGGGGTTTGAGTTCACACTCCGATTCGCATTGTCCGCAAACTCTACTAAAACACCTGCTACTTGCGCTGCAAAAGAAGGATCGTGTAACGTCCTAGAACAAACAGAAAGACACTTATTTCTCCTTCCGCATCATATGCATCTCTACTTACTTGTCTAGAAACGAGTGAAAGAGAGAGTATGGCAAGAGCACCGCCACTGCTCCTTTGGTTTTGAACTCGAGCTTCGTGAGCCGCTGTAATGGAGCAACGATTTTATCTCTTCCCGGATCTTCAAAGCACAGCCAGATTGGTGACAAGAACAAAAGAGCTCGAAAAAAACCTCACTGGCACAGCCGGATTCTCCCTGCATGCTCAACAAACGCACACACGGTGAGCCTTGTATGACTCTGTACATAGCTCTCTCCAGGTCGGGCACCGATTCTAGCGCGCCATTGCCTAAGAACAAGAGATGAGAGAATGCAGCTACTTCCAAGAGCTCTCACCTCGCGTGACGATCGATATGCCGAGCAGCGCCAGGGCGAGAAGAAGAAACGCCATTGCCATCGCCACCGAGATCGTCTCCCTCGTCACGTCACAACCTGGAGGGAGCAAGGAACCCTAGGTAACACTATAGTACGGCATTGTCAAGTACGAATTTTTGGGTCTCTCGTCTCTCTCTTTCTCGCTAAACTCCCAAAACACACACCACACGCAGAGAGAAGAGGGGGATGGTTCTTGTCCGTCTTGGGATTTAGGTCGTGCGGGGGCTTGGATCTGGCGCTGGAGCAGTGGCGACGCGCAGCTCCGGAGGCGCCGCCGCAATTCTTCGCTTCCCCGATCCTTTTCTTGCGCTTTTCCCTTGCTTCTTTCCCCCATTTCCCCCACAGATTGATCGATTTCCGGGCTTGATGCGTCGCCGGCATCGGCCGGATGCATTCCAAATCTCGGCGGATTAATTCTTTCTCCTGCCATTGCGCTCTAGCTCACGCTCCCTAACTGCCCCATAGAACATGCTCCGCAAGCGCAGGTATTTGCTCCTCCTCGCTAGCAATCCAGCATGAAGCGTGCCCGAGAGGAGAGCAACATGGGGCCGCAGCTCAAGCGCCCATCAGGAGGAGGAGAACCGTGAGTTTCTTACTGTTCTTCTTTGGTTTTTTCTTTTTCTTTTCTTTTTTCCTTCCTTCCTTTTTCTTCTTGGATCGATGTTCTTGTTTGGGTGGTCGCAGCTCGGATCAACATCCTCGTTTAACACCAGACGATGCGTTGCAATACCTCAAAGCGGTGAAGGAAAGATTCAAAGACGATAACGATAAGTACTCCGAGTTTTTAGAAGTTATGAAGGACTTCAAAGCTCAGAGGTACGTGAGATTAGATTATATAGAATGGAATGCTCAATTCTCTTTGCTTGTGGTTTTTTTTTTTTTTTTCAATTTTTTTTTTTGTTGCTTTTCAGGATCGATACTAACGGGGTCATTGGGAAAGTGAAAGAGCTTTTCAAGGGCCACAACAAACTGATTATTGGCTTCAATGCATTCTTGCCGAGAGGCTATGAAATCGTTCTCGATGAATCGCCAAGGGAAGCTCCCAAAAAACAGCCTGTGGAGTTCAACCAGGCTATCAATTTTGTCAACAAAATCAAGGTTTTTGCATTTTGCTTTCTTTTTTAAATTCCAGCGGCTTTTTGTTTTAATTCTTGTTCATTTTGTGCTTGATCACAGAATCGTTTCCAAGACAACGAACAAGTGTACAAAGCGTTTTTAGAGATTCTTAACAAATTTCGAAAGGGATCTAAATCTATCACTGAGGTTTATCAAGAGGTTTGTGTTTTTTTTTTCCCTCTTTTATTCTTGAAACATTCGAGATTTTCAACACGTGCAGGTTGCTTCCTTGTTTGGCCATCACCCTGATCTGCTTGACGAATTCACCTGCTTTCTTCCGGAATCTGCAAACTCGAGTTTAAAGTCGAGCTCACATCTTCGTAAAGATGAGAAATCTGGAGCATCGGCGAAACCTTCTCAATCTGAAAGGATGTTTAAGGTACTTTGTTAAAGCTTATTTGGCTCATGCAGAAGAAAATTCTTGTGCAGAAAGAGAAGCTGCTGGATCGCGATCAAGATCGTGCAGCAAGATCGGATAAAGAACGCAGGAAAGCCGAAAAGGAGCGGGACAAGGAAAAGGAGAGAGAAGAATATGATCGAGAGGCGGACATGGACGGAGCCCGTCACAAGCGCAAATCAGCACGTCGGGCAGACGAACTTATCCGCAAACAGTCTCAAAATGGAGAAGGTGGGGATGGATTGTTCTGGCCTACTGCTTCTACTTTCATGGAGGACATCATAAGTAAGTTTTGGTCTTTTTAGCGGATTGGAAAGTGCCAAAAAGCGTTCTGTCCGAGGGAAGTTGCATGGGTTTTAGGCGTATATATGCATGCGGCTTGGAGGTTCGTTTCTGCATCCTCTGACTGCCTCGTTTCTGCAGGTGCAAGCTTGCAAAGAGATTACGCTTTCTTTGAGAAGGTGAAAGGAAAACTCCGTAATCGCGACTCGTACCAAGGATTGCTCAAGGTTCTCAACCTTTATAACGAACACATTATCAGCCGAGCGGAATTGCAGTCACTGGTATGAATCTGAATGACGGTTTGCATTCTGGTCCTGACCCCCGAGTCTCCAGGTTTCGGACATTTTGGGCAAGTATCCGGAGCTACTGGACGGCTTCAACGAACTGGTTATTCGATGTGCAAATGCCGGTGAGTGCATGTTATCATTTTTTTTGTGGTGTTTTTTCTTACCACTTTCGCGTAGAAATGGACTCTGATGGCCAATTGAAGGCTAGCAAACCCGAAAGAGACAAAGACAGGGATCATGATAGAGGAAAGGAGCGGGAGAAAGACAAAGACAAGGAAAGGGAAAAGGAGAAGGATAGGGATAGAGACAGGGACAGGGAGAGAGACCGAGACCGTGAAAAGGAACGAGCCAAAGATCACAAGTCGTCCCTACATGCCAACAAGGAGAAATACATGACCAAGCCTATATCGGAACTCGATCTATCAAGCTGTGAGCGGTGCACTCCGAGCTATCGTTTACTCCCAAAGAATGTAAGTTACTTGTGGTCGTGGATGCTAACACTTGACATTCCTTAACCTTTACAGTATCCTCGTCTCTTGTCAAGTCACCGTACTGAGCTGGCGAAATCTGTTCTCAATGATAGCTGGGTCTCTGTTACATCTGGCAGCGAGGATTATTCTTTCAAACATATGCGAAGAAACCAGTATGAAGAAAGCTTATTTCGCTGTGAGGATGACAGGTAAACTCAGACTTTTATAGTGCATACTCTTTAACTAGCAGGTGCCAGGTTTGAGCTGGATATGTTGCTGGAATCAACGGTAGCCACGGCAAAGCATGTTGAAGAGATTGTTGAAAAGCTTCAGGATGCCAGCATGGAATCTCAAACTCGCATCGATGATCACTTGTCTGGTAATAATCCTCTATTCTAACGAAATAAGTTCTGACCATTTTTTTTATTTTGTCGTCCAGTTATCGATCTTCGTTGTATTGAAAGGATTTATGGTGACCATGGCCTCGATATCATTGATTTGATGCGTAAAAGTCCATCCGTTGTGCTGCCTGTCGTCCACAGCCGACTAAAGCAAAAGCAGGAGGAATGGTCTAAGTGCCGCTCTGATATGAACAAAGTCTGGGCCGAAGTTTATTCCAAAAACTATCATAAATCCCTTGACCACCGGAGCTTTTACTTTAAGCAACAGGATCGAAAGAGCTTAAGCGCAAAAGGTACCCTGTAAAGTTGCCTGGTAGAATTCCCTATATATCTTGTAATTGTGTATGCAGCGCTTTTTGGCGAGATCAAAGATGTTCATGCGCGGAAGAGGAAGGAAGACGACTCTATTATTGCGACACTAACGGGAAACCGAAGGCTCTTAACCCCGCACTTGAAGTTTGAATACTCCGATCCTTCCATTCACAACGATCTCTTTGAGATTATGAAATACTCGGCTGATGAGGTATGCAGCTCGATGGAACAATCCAACAAGATTATGCGTGTTTGGACAAGTTTCCTGGAATCCATGTTTGGCGTGCCGTCAAGGATCCGTGGTACAGAAGATGCAGAAGAAGCTACCCTCCAACCTTCGAAGGAACGGAGATCCAGTTCCGGCGATAGTACTGGTAGTGGAAACCCGGACACTGCCCCCAGTCAGGCACTGAAAGCTGATGAATTTACCAGTGCATCCAGCAGAGCTGTCCACGGTGAAAAGAAGCGGGGAATTCTGGACGTCACAGAGAGTAACACTAAGGCCGACCACCACCTTGGCTTTTCGAAGACCGGCTTTTCCAAGAAGGATGCTTCGATAGACGGTAACTTTCTTCCTTTGTTCTTTACTTTGACTTATCTGCTCTCTCCTTCCAGGGCCCGAAACTCATACCACGCAAAGACTAGATGTAAGTTGCTCATTTAGCTGTGTCTGACGTAACTAACATTTAATCTCGGCAGGGTCCAGAGTCCAGGAAGGATCGCCACAGGAGGGGCGAGAAGGAGGAAGGCGAACTTTCACCTTCTCCAGACTTGGATGCGAGGCAAACCTTCACAGCAGAGCAGGGGTCGAAGGACCGGCTTGTAAAGGACTTGGTATCAAAGCGGGCTGATTATGACGAAGCTGAAGGAGATGCCGAGCAGGATGCAGAAGCAGATGACGAAGGTGACGAAAGTGCTCACAAGTCAAGCGAAGACAGCGAGAATGGATCGGAGGCTGGCGAGGTCTCAGGTAGCGAGTCAGGCGATCCAGATGATGCTTCGCGCGAGGAGCACGAAGATCACGAGGATGAAGACGAAGAGGGAGATGATGACCATGAAGAGAAGGCTGAAAGTGATTTTGACGGTGAAGGCATGGCTGACGCAGACGATGGAGAAGCTCCAGATAGATCCTCCATGTTTTGCAAGCCTTTGGCGGCTCATTATACTTGCTGCATGGATTCGCTGGACAGCTGCCTGTTCTATGGCAACGACATGTTTTACATCTTGTTTAGACTGCATCAGGTATCTATTTGCCAAGCTATTTTCTTGGTTTCTTTTATCATTCTTTTGCAGGCTTTCTACGAGCGAATACAGTCCGCAAAGACAAACGCTGCCGCAGCCGAGCAGAAGTGGAAGCTGGTTAAAGAAACCGATCCTCCAAACTTGTATGAAAAGTAAGTGTCTTGCTTATGCTGTTTTTTTGCTGATCGTCACGAATGATTTCCAGGTTTGTGCGGGTGTTGTATAGTCTTTTGGATGGGTCTGCTGACAACAACAAGTACGAAGACGAGTGCAGATCGATAATTGGAACGCAATCCTACGTTTTGTTTACGTTGGACAAGCTCATATTTCGGCTCGTGAAACAGGTAAGCACGAGTAGCACTAGGAGCTCTTGCTGACGCCTACGCCCCGGTTTTGCAGCTTCAAGCAATTGTAGCGGACGAGACTGCAAACAAGCTTCTGTCCCTATACGCTTACGAAAAATCTCGTGGGACCGCTGGATTTATTGACCACCTCTACCATGCCAACGCCTGCGTGCTCCTCCACGATGAGACCATGTACAAGTACCAGTTTGTAAGCATATCTAGTTTAAATGGTTTGTTCATGCAATCGTAACGTGTGTGCCTTGATTTCAGAGAGTAAGCTCGTCGGACCTGTCAATCCAGTTGATGGATTGGGGACTTGAAAAACTGGATGCTCCCGCCTGCGCCATGGAAGCTACTTTCTCGAACTACCTCGGCGATTTCCTCCAGCTGGAGCAAGGCGTCAAAGACGGCCAAAATGTCTTCCTGTGCAGGCAAGCATCATAATTCTCGTTTGTTGCTTGAGGCTGCTAGTTGATCGCTCTGTCGTGCCTACAGGAACAAGCACAGAACTGTAGAGCGGGAGTTAATGAAGAACGTCCAAGTTGTCAATGGCCTGGAATACAAGATATCCTGCAAGACTTCAAAGGTAGAGCTTTCGTCGCCGGTCGCTGCTTCTCTGATCGTTTGCCTTGGCATTACAGGTTTCATACGTGCTGGACACCGAAGACTTGTTCCGACGCCAGAAGCAAACGCCAAAGCATCACAGATTTCCGTTGAGCCGAGCACGGCGATTCCGGGAGTGGATTGAGTACAAGCTGAAAAGCCTGTTGGACAAGTAAGAAACCAAGAGACCTTTTGAAGCTGCGCTACAAAAAGAGAGTGAGGAAGAGAGAGAGGGAGAGGTACTGTGTCAGCATTTTGTCTGAGTTCTAAGAGTTTGATAATACTTATGACACCAAGATGCTTTCTCTTGAGTGGAAGCTGTCAGAGAAAGATGGTTCCACATTGGATCATCCCTGGCTGTTGGGCGATGATCCTTCCTAGGTTTTTAGCGAGCGCATCACCAGGTATGGCAGTGGCGTGGTTGTGCGGCGGCGATCAAGGAGGAGGTTGGCTGGATGTCACAGTTATTCACCCATGCGCGAGAGAGATGGTGCTCTCGATGCTTCACTCCATCGCTTGGGCGGGGCTGGTCGTCGCTCTCGCCCGCGTCGCCGCTGCCAAGGAAAGGAAGAACAAGAGCGTGAGGAAGGCGGGCACCTTTGCCTTTGTCCAGGCCGCCACCATGCTCCTCGGCGTTGCTCACACACTCGTCACCGCCTGGAACTGCCTGCGCTACTACCACCACGGTCGCGATCGCCTCCTCCTCCACAGGCTCATCTTCCCGCTCACGCAGGCCGTGGCATGGGCTACGTCTTTGCTCCTCCTCGCTTACGAGGAGAGCCATGGCTTGGCTCATCACTTGGCTGTGCTCCGAGCGTGGTGGGCGCTCAGCTGCATGTCTGGTTCCGTCCACGCTCTCTGCGGCCTCGTGTCTTGGATCGTGCTACCGGATCAAGGCGCCGGGATCATTCCAGGACTGGACTTGTTCACGGCGGCCGGGACCGCGCTGCTGAGCTTGGCATTGCTGCTGGTCACTCCTCGAGGAGCTACTGGCTTGAGGATGGTGGAAGCCATTGACACGAAGGAAGCATTGTTGGCGGGCGGTAGCAGTAACACTGGAGATCCTGAGAGGGTGACGCGCTACGCGAGAGCGGGATACGTGAGCAAGGCCTTGTTTCTGTGGGTGGATCCACTTCTCAAGACTGGTAGCACGAGGACGCTTGAGGCGGACGACATTCCCGAGCTCGCGGTGGAGGACAGGGCCGAGACGCTGTGCCATGCCTTCGAGCTTAACTGGGCCAAGCAAGCGGATCGCTCGGTTGCCTTGGCTCTCATGCACTCGCGCCGCTGGCCTCTGGCTTTCACAGGCCTGCTCTACTTGCTCAAGGTGTCGGTCATGTACGTCGGACCTCTGATGATCCAGCGCTTCATCGACTTCGCGTCAAAACCAGGTGGTCACTGGAGCCAAGGAGTCGGGCTGGTTTCGTTGCTGTTGGTTGCAAAGATGGTGGAAGAGCTCACCGAGCGGCAGAGAAACTTTGGGACGAGGAAGCTCAGCTTGTCAGTCAGATCGTCGCTGGTAGCGGCAGTGTTTCGCAAGAGCCTGCGTCTCTCGAACTCGGCCCGCCAGGAGCACGGCACGGGACAGATCGTCAACTACATGTCGGTGGACGTGGAAGAGATTGCCAACTTCGTGCTCAACCTCCACAACCTGTGGATCATGCCCATCCAGATCGCCATAGCTCTGGCCATTTTGTTCCGGGTGGTCGGGGTGTCCACAGTCGCGGGGCTGGCCAGCATGATCACCTTGATGGCATTTTGCCTCTTCATCTCGTCCCGGCAGCGCAAGTACTGGAAGCAGATCATGGCTTGCAAGGACGCTCGGATGAAGGTGACCAACGAGGCCATCACCAACATGAAGATCATCAAGATGCAGGCTTGGCAGGACTGGTTTCTCCAGCTCGTCGAGAAGGCCCGTGACAAGGAGCAAGTTTGGGCGTCCAAGATTATGTACATCGGTGCCACCAGCATTTTTTTCCTGTGGCTGTCACCGCTAGCAGTGTCGGTGGCGACGTTTGGAATGTGTGTGATCGTCGGCAAGGAGCTCACGGCTGGCCGAGTCTTCACGGCCATTGCAACGTTTAGAATACTCCAGGATCCACTGCGAGCTTTCCCGTCCGTGATAATGGCCGGCTCCCAGGCAGCTACTTCTCTCACTCGGCTCAAGCGCTATCTTGTGAGCGACGAGATTGACGCTCTTGGTGTTGAGAGGCGGCCACCCGGCATTGACAACGTCGCGGTGCTGCTGGAAAATGCCACCTTCAAGTGGAGTTTTGATGGGGACAAGCCCGTCCTGGACAAGTTGGATGTCAGGGTCGAGGCTGGGAGCCTGGTCACTGTTGTTGGAACTGTGGGATCTGGCAAGTCGTCCTTCTTGGCATGCATTCTCGGGGAGATGGACAAGGTGTCTGGAACGGTATTTTGTTTGTTTTTTGGTTTTCTTCTGCATGGTTTGCATCTGAGCGATCGATTGTTCTGCCAGGTGAAGGTGAGTGGACGAGCGGCCTATGTTTCGCAGTGTCCTTGGATTCAGAACGGAACGATCCGCGACAACATTCTGTTTGGGAACGCGATGAATTTGCAGCGGTACCGTCAGACACTCCAAGTTTGCTGCTTGCAAGCTGATCTTGCTCAGTTCGTGGCTGGTGACTTGACTGTCATTGGCGAGCGAGGATTTAATCTCAGTGGTGGCCAGAAGCAACGCATTCAGCTGGCCAGAGCGGTGTACCAAGATGCCGACGTCTATCTGCTTGACGACATCTTCAGTGCCGTGGATGCACACACCGGAACAGCACTTTTCATGGTACGTTCTTGTTCTTCTTTGTGTGTTTCCTGTGTTTAAAACTGTGAACCGTGGCAGGATTGCGTGAGGGGTGCCTTGTCAAGCAAAACTGTGATTTTGGTGACGCACCAGATAGAGTTTCTGCACGGGGCGGACTTAATCCTGGTAAGGCTAAATCTCGTGAAGACTGCTTGTTCATGGTGGATGTTTTGTACCAGGTAATGAAGCAAGGCAGAGTTGTTCAGTCGGGTAAATTCGAGGAGCTGCTCGAGCATGGTGTCCATTTCTCCGACCTTGTGCAAGCTCACCACCAAGCTTTGCAACTTGTTGACGTTGGCCAAGGCATGACCGGGCCAGAGAATGGCCGGGCTTTCGATTCTGGTGACGACTCCCAGATATCTCATTGTGAGTTCAATGCTGATGAATCGGCTCAAGCGGAAGATGTGGAGGAGGAGGAGAGAGCCAAAGGTCGAGTGGACGGGCGTGTTTACTGGGCTTATGTCACGCAAGCATTCGGAGGATTTCACGTCATTGTCTTTCTGCTGATTCAGAGCGCCTGGCAAGGCCTACAGATTGCAAGTGACTTCGGGCTGGCTCACGCAACCTCGGATAAGAACAAGCCTTTCTTCGGGCCTCGCAAGTTTATCCTTGTTTACTCACTGCTTGCCCTTGGCAGTGGGGTCTTTGTGCTAATGCGTAGCACACTTATCTCTTACTGCGGGCTGGTCACCGCTCAGAAGCTCTACCTCTCGATGCTCAGGAGCATTTTTCGGGCCCCGATATCATTCTTTGACGCTACTCCGACGGGACGAATCTTAACTCGGGTACTCTTAATTCACACCAAAATCGATGAGGACTTCTGATTGTTTTGTCGTGCAGTCTTCGACCGATCAAGTTCTAGTCGACTTCACTCTTCCTTTTCTTTACGGTAGTAGCCTCGCGAATGGCTTCCAGCTGATTGGAGTGTTTTTAGTGATTTCCGAGATAACATGGCAGCTTCTTCTTGTGCTTCTTCCTCTGGCATGGATATATTTCAAATACCAGGTACTCCACTGCATGTTTTGTTTATGTGATAACCTTCCAGGAGATGAATTTTGTTTGCAGAGATACTTTATAGCCACATCTAGAGAGCTGACGCGGCTGAAATCTATCACAGACGCTCCCGTTATTCACCACTTCAAGGAAACCATAGCTGGCTTGATGTCAATCCGTGCTTTTGGCCATCAAGAGCGCTTTGCCAGGGTCAATATGGATCGTATCGATACCAACGTGCGTATGAGCTTTCACAATGGCGCTGCCAACGACTGGCTCAGTTTCCGACTTGAGACCATTGGCATTGTAATACTTTGCTTCTCCGCTCTCTTCCTGGTGCTCCTTCCTAAAAGCTTTGTTAATCCCGGTTCGTCGTGATTCTTTTCCCATGTCCCATCCTTTGTTTTCTTTCTTTTTTGCTTTCTCTTTTGTTTATGACACTTACACTTCGTTCTTTGCAGAATTTGTTGGCCTTTCACTCTCCTACGGGCTAGCACTGAGCGGGTGCCTTAACTACATGATCTTCAACATATGCCAGATTGAACAGAACATGGTAGCCGTGGAAAGGATTTTGCAGTTTAGCTCTATCGAAGCGGAGGAACAAGGTGCTGGAAAGGACGCTGGTCCAGGCGTCAGCTGGCCTCAAAGTGGCAACGTTGCTGTTCAAAGCTTGCAGGTAGAATATCTAGTTCGCTTGGGAAAGAAAGGACATGGTTTGTATGGCTTTTGTTCTGCCAGCTTCGCTACAGACCAGGGTTGCCCCTCGTCTTGAAGGATGTAACTTTCGTCGTCCAAGGGGGCGAGAAGCTCGGTGTTGTTGGAAGAACTGGCAGCGGAAAGTCGTCCTTCATACAAGCTCTCTTCAGGCTGGTGGAGCCAGTCCAAGGCACCATTTTCATAGATGGTATCGATATCAGGAGCATTTCTCTAAACGATTTACGGTCGAGGCTGAGTATCATCCCTCAAGACCCGACACTGTTTGAAGGCACGGTGAGAAGCAACATTGATCCGCTTGGTATGTATCAAGACGAGGAGATATGGGAGGTGGGCATCTTCTTTTCAATACGCTCACTCGTCGTGATCGTGTTTTCCAGGCTCTGGAGAAATGCCAGCTTGCCGAGACCGTGAAGCAATCCGAGTTGAAGCTGGGGGCTCAAGGTCTGTTATGCTTTCCGTTTTCTTTTCTTCTTGAGGTGACAGTACCATTTCCAGTCGCTGAAAATGGTGAGAATTGGAGCATGGGACAGCGGCAACTGTTTTGCCTGGGGAGGGTGCTGCTCAAGAGGAGCAGAATTCTGGTTCTTGACGAGGCAACAGCATCCATTGACACTCACACTGACTGGATACTCCAAAAGATAATCAAAGAGGAGTTTTTGGGAAGCACGGTCATCAGCATTGCGCACAGGATTCCCAGCGTCATGGACAGCGATAAAGTCCTTGTCCTGGACAATGGTAGGCCTCCCTCCACTTCCATTTCGCTGTAAATGCGTGTGGCGATTGTTTTTTTGTTTGTTTGTTGGTGCAGGAACATCGAAAGAGTTTGCCTCTCCTTCCACGCTGCTGAGACGTCGCGACTCTTTGTTTGCCGGCCTCGTGCACGAATACTGGAGTCGCTCCAAGAGCGCACAGAATCTAACAGCAATGATCAGCTGACATACATTCCCTGGGTAAGACTTTGAGAGGCTTGTTTTTCTGCGTTTAAAGCGCTTGTTTTGCTCGGCCACAGGACACGACGACTAGCTAGTCTGGCATATCATGGAACGTGTGGGAATTCCATCATTCCTTCACGTCTCATCTCCTTCTGTGGGTCCTTTGCTTATTAGGCACGCGCCAGTGGTAAGCTCCCTCTCGCATGGCCGCCCCGCCAGAGCTTATATCCCTGTCCTGGTGTTTCAGTAGCCAAAGTTACAGGCCAAAGAGGAGGCGGCGAAAGAGAAAGCTAGTCTACTGGAGCTTGATGCAGGGGCCGGCGCACAAGATGGTGCTAAGATGCGAGGGTGATGTTTCCAAAGCTCCACCACGCTCGCCGGCCGCCGGGTTCCTCAGGAGATTAAGATTGCTTCCAAGGTCGACGGGAAGGTCGACAAAGTTGGCGCGGCTCACCACGGGTGGCGGAGACGAGGATGACGAGCAGCCGTGGGTTCCTTTCAGCGGGCCACTCAACCTGCATTCCCAATCCCCGCGGTTGACCAAGCACGAAGTCTTCATCCCCCGGAGTGGTCAGCTGGTGGTTCCTTCGTCGTCGTCAAGAGCAGCATCAAAACTCGTCGCTCCTCGGCCCCGAAGCGCCCGTCACGCTCCGCCAGCAGCAGCATCATCGTCGCCGGCGTGGCGTCCTCTGGCTGATAACTGGCACGAGGTTGTGTCCATGGTGCTGTCCAAGGACCTGGACAACTTGGTCGATCTGGAGGAGTTTTTCGGCTACTACCACCTCCTCACATGTCCGGCCTACAGGGAGATAGTGGAACAGGTGTTCAAGGAGTTTTGCAGCGACTTCTCGCTTCCAGTCGCCAGCCTCATGGTCCCCGCCGGCTGTAAGTCGTACCGTGGCTCCAGCGATGGCGAGGGCGAGGTGGAGTGCCTGCCTCCCTCGCCCTGCTCCAAGCAGACACTGTCGTGGATCACCCACATAATGTGACGACTCCGGCCTGGCTAAACAACAGTAGTTTGTAGAGCTTGTCGTCGGCCATCCCGCAAGGAAGGCGCTCTTTGGAGTGTTGTCTCTCCTTTGTCTGTGAAGGCAGGCGGTGATCCAGATCAAAGAGACAAGCGTGGATGGATCTTATACACTTGGCCAAGTGGGCTTTCTCTGGATCAGCAATCCTTGAGAGCTAGCATGGGCGGCGGGGAGGAGAAGTTTTGGTGGTGGACGCGGAGCCTGTAGCACATGATGCAGGAGCCGAAGGAGCACATGCCAATGTTTGCGAGGCGATTGACCCATCCCGGGATGGCGCAGCCCGTCAAGCGCAGGCTCACCTCGTTGGTGAAGTGGTTGCAGTTGCGCAGGATGAGATGGTACGAGTCGCCCGTGTAGGCGATGGACATCCTCTCGATCAGCTCGCGGACGTCGCCAGCGCTCAGCTCGGTGCTGCCCAGCACCATGGCCTTTCGAAACGTGTAGCCCGGGCAGCTGCGCGGGATCACCTCAAACACGCCGCTGCTGGAGAAGTCGTGGGCACCGAACGAGTACTCCACTCCGTGAACTGCGGGGGATGACACACGAATCTATCGGTGCTCCTCAACCCAATCAATCCCTTGCTTACCTTCAATGCCCGAGTGGAACATCCCGAGGCCGACCCAGTACATGTAGCCATTGATGGGCGAGAGATCGTAGACATTGAGATAGACGGGCATTCGTACGCTCAGCGCTCCTCCTCCTCCTTGCTCCTCGCCTTGCTCGTCTGCCGCCTTCCTCAACCGTGTGCTGCGCCTCTTCCTCGCGCTGCTAGTACTGCCGCTCACCTCGAGCTCCATGTCGGCTGCTGGATCCCTCTCCTCTCCGCAAGTTGAGGAGGAAGGAACCAACCCTCTTCTTCTTCCCTAGCCTTCTCCTCAGCTCCTCCAATTGCGGCCGGTTGCTTGGTACGAGGGAGCAAGCCATCCTAGCACACAAAGAATCTGGAATGAGGAGAGATTTCATGAGCAATGTAACTAGCTAGCTCTCACCCAGACTTGGGAGCCCCATGCACGATCTCCACATGCCACTGCCACTTGCCTCCTGATCTCTCTTGGGTTCGAGTGACTGGAAGCTATTGGGTGAGGAGAGCCCAAGTTAGCTAGAGACAGTCCTTGCTCCTATAGTATAGAGGATGAAAGCCCAGGCCAGGAAAGAGGAAAGCGCAGTGGGAAGAGAATATTCACGTCGTGGTCGTCGACGGGTGTATCCCTTGGACAGTCTAGAGACAGAAAAGAAAACAAAGTGAGACGAGCATGTGAATATTCTCAGCTCGGGTTGACAGTCATGCCCGTGATGAAGCCCGTCATACACGCGGCCCACGGGATGCGTGATCACCACCTTGTGCTCGTGCTCGTGCTTGTCGGTGGTGTTGATCCAGCCGGATGTTGGCGACTGCCACCAGCAGGAGGCATTGGAGAGAGTAGAACAGGACTGGGCTTGGGAGAGGTGGTTTCAGACTGAGAGGGACATGCTCTACGATGCTCTTTCAGGTAATCGCCGTTGGAAAGGCCTCCAGGCCGATAACACACTCGCAAGTCTACGATATAAGCAACCAAGTGTCTGAGGTGCTGCAAGCACCACGGGGATATTTCTCTGCAGAACATCTGTAAGACGGGACGTGAGCCTTGCGTGTGGTCCGAGTTTGTTCAAGTGGTGGACAAGGCCTGGCCGTCTCTGCATGTCAAGACGACTATGCCAGGGATTCGCAACTGGGAGACGTCTCCCAAATGCTATTTCCTGTGCGTGAGACCGCACGACAGCGTGCTAGCCAAGTCCACTTCTGCGACAAAGGCAGGCACAAACTTCCACTTGAGCTCAAGAACATCACACTGGGCAACCTCCGCAGAAAGATGTTTATGAAATTTATGCAAAAGTTAAAGTCACTATGTCAACACACGAAACTGTTTGAGCTTTGAACAGTTCGAGTATTGCCTCCATGGTAGCTACAGGTGTGGACTTGCTTCTGAACCAACAAGGCCACGTGAGCGAAGATGGTGATGGAATGAGCCATGGAACTCGATGACATTGCTTTTCCACTATCTGAGATGTCCGTGGTAGTGTATCGACGTCCCCAAAGATTAGATGTTAGATCCGTGTTTGTAATGCAAACTGATATCGTTGGCAATGATGCCTGTCCCTGCAAACCCTAAAACCGGGCAGCAAACGTCACCCAATGTCCAACGAGACTACCTTCACCTTGATGTTCAGCTTCTTGATTCTATTTGTTTTGTCCTTGCATGAACTTCGCTTTCCCTTTTCAGCCAGATTGACGGTATCGAGATTGAAGTGAGGTACTAGTATGCAGAACTCGACTTGTTCCCCTTTGCCGTGGTAAACTCGCAGGAAGTCCAGTGCCTGCCCGAGTACCAAGGCGCGCTTCTTTGTAACGATTACCTGATATATACTTCCATTGACGATGAAATGCCACTCAGCGCTCCAGGCTGAAGAAGGCTTGAAGGAATCTGTTGTGGAAAGACAGCCTCATGTCCACGTCCTCTACGTTCCAGATCATACCTTGGAACAACATCTGGGAAGCTCCCTGCTGAAACCGTCCCAAATTCCCCATCTTGTTGCAGCTCCCTGCCATGTTGGAGTAGAGTAAGCCAAGCACTCACGGACTGTACAGACTTTTCTGGGAGATTACCTCCTTCAGATCTGTGCGCTCCGATATCATGTTATGAAAGTGAGTGTGAGAGAATAATCACGTCGTCGACCAGTGCATCCCCTTGAGATGGAAAAGTAAACAAAGTGGTGTGAACATTCTCAGCTCGGGTAGACCATCTTGACGGTGGTGCCCCCGTCCACCACAAACTGCTGGCCCGTGATGAAGCCCGACTTGCTCTCGTCACACAAAAACAGGCAAAGCTGCGCCACATCCACGGGTTCGCCGACGCGGCCCACGGGATGCCACTGCTTGTCCACCTCGCGGATCGCCACCTCGTGCTCGTGCTCGTCGCTGGTGTTGATCCACCCGGGGAGGATGGCATTCACCCGGGCGTGTCCCGCATAAGTTATAGCCTGTGAAGACAGACACATCGCTTGTGAATGAGAAGAAAGTGGCCGAGAGAGCTTGCCTGCGAGTGCGTCAATCCACAGAGGCCAGCCTTGGAGGCGGTGTAGCCGACGGTGTCAGCCTCGCTCTGGAGGGCTCGGGTGCTCGACACATGAATGATGCTGGAGCAGCCGCGGGGCATGTGTGGGATGGCGTAGTGCGAGAGATAGAAGGGGCCGTTCAGGTTGACACGGAGCATGGCGTCGAAAGCTTGAATGGCATCTTGTCCTTCCTCTCCACGAGTCAAGGCTGTGTGTGATCAGGCAAACAAAATCCCATGACAGTCATAATCAGAGTCTCGCTCTCGCTCTCTTGCCTGCGTTGTTGACGAGGGCGTGAATGTGGTGTCCAAATCGCTCCAAGCTGGCCTGGACAATCGATTTGGCTTGCGCTGCGTCGCTCACATCGGCCCGAACAAAGTGAAACCTGCTGTTGGTGACGCAGCTCCCTTGTTCTTCCAGCGCTTGGATGTCACTCCCAACAACGCAGTAGCCCTGTTGTTATGTGATTAACCTGAGTGTTACCCATCGAGCGATTCCCCACCTCGTTGAGGAAGCAGTCGACGATGCTCCTCCCGATGCCACGCCGGCGAGCGACGCCCGTCACAATGGCGCACCGCGGCGGCATCGTCATCGCCGTGCTCGCCATCTCAATCTAGGGTCTAGCTTTGCTCAAACTGGTTCTCGTGCACGTCGTTTGGGCTGGACATGTGAGCGCATCCATCGGCGGTCTGGAAGGTCGTCGCTGCTGAGGTCTTCGTCGGGATTCTTGAGCATCTGGGAAAAGACCGAGATGAAACCTTTGGCTTGCCCTTGTTGCGCTCCTGGTGGGTAAGCCTGTGCTTTGTTCGGTTTCAATAATCTTACACGTTTCCTATGTTGCAGTCTGGTAAAGAGACTCTTTATTTCCTTGCATATGTTTCTCCTTGATCTGTGCATGCATCCAAATTTGTGTCCTACCTTGTTTTGATTGTTTATATTGAAAATTAAGTTGGAATAATATCAAAACTAAGCAATTGTTATTGAGGAAGTACTTGTAAGCTCAAAGGAAACTGTTAGATCCCAAAACCAGGAAGTGTCTCAATAGCATCGAGGTGATCTTCTCTTCTTCTCCACTGTCTTTGCTCCTCTCGATCTTTCCTTCGCTGCTCTTGACATGTTCACGCAGGTGTGAGTGGAGCCGGCATCAAAAGAAGATTCTCAGCAGCCATGGCTACAGCTCAACCAGCTGTGTGTGTATCCGTCCATGATCAGGATTGCCAAGCTCCGGGGCCACACTGCTCGAGTGATCCATTTGGCATACGTTTATCACCAAACAATACACACATTGTTTTCTTCTTCTCCAGTTTTTTGTGGCTTTTCCTGTTTTGCATGTAGAGCCCGGAGGAAACTAACTGCGGCCGTGGACGAGACACTGTGCTTCTGGAGGGTGTTTGGATCGCCTGATAAGAAATGCGGCATTCGATGAGTAGCATGCATATCTGTAGTATAACTGCTCATTGCCATGGTAGCAAAGCAATCTTCTTGGGCTCACTACAAATTGCAAGCTGGAATTCTGTTGTTGCTTTAGTTTATCATAATCATGGCGTTTTGAAACTAACAGAAGTTACCCAGCACCCCAAGTAAAGTAGCGCTGGGTTCTCTCCATCACTTGCTCAACTTGTCTGTCTGCCTGTGCTTTGCGTGACTCCACGAGAGCTTTGACACCATCCTCAGGGAAAAGGAATAGGAAAAATCATATGTTGTTTTAGAAGATCCCACCTTATATATACAAGCTAAAAAGCTCTGAGTCCCAAATTCCTTCATTCAGCTCCCAGCAGGAGTCTGCTTACTCCAAGCTTCTTTTGAAGAAAGATAAACTGACTTTTACCAAGGGCCTTAGTGAAAATGTCGACTGTCTACGGCTTGGTGGGAACATAGTGCATGATCACTTCCCGCTTTTCAATCTGTCCACGAATGAAGTGACATTGGATCTCGATGTATTTTGTTTTGTGTTCCCATGAAACTCTCTTTGCAGCTTGTAAATGGATGTGAGTTGGTGCAAAGATGTACCGAATTAAATTCCAACTACAAATGAGATATTAGGACGAAAGCATGTTGCAGCATATAATAAATTGCCAACCACACTTTGATAATTGTAGTATAGTTCCATTAGTTGCAGCAAAGAACTATCATGGGAGTTAGCATTGGCTTTCAATCCTATAAACCAAATTAATGCAACAACTTTTGAATATAGCTATGTTGAGTTATAACTATAAAACCAGTATATACATCCTTCTTAACTTCCATTCCCAAAGGTTTTGTCACTTGACCAAGATAAGTCCTTGGTCTTTTTCAGAAACTCCAATGAGTTTTACCATTTGAAGCAAGCTTAGTAAATCCTTTTTCTATCAAAGACTTATCAATGCATTCATACAATTGTCTAGATGATTGTTAACAACTTCTTTAATTTCTATACCAAACTTTTCCCAGAGTTGTGAACTAGTTCTCTCATGGAAATCTCCTTGAAGTTTTTATTCATAAAAGCCATTTCATGTCTATATAATGGACTTACAAGTCAAATTCATCTGCAAAAGCAAGCAAGAAGTGTGCAAATGCTAGCCATCTTAACCATGGGTGAAAATGGCTCAGACTAAGAATCTGTGTGAACCCTTGAGCCACCAATCGTGCTTTATATCTCTTCACACTCCCATCAATACTATAAACTTTATATACCCATTTTCTATCTATATTTCTTCTTCCTTCAAGTTTTAAAAACAACTTTAGAGATTCCAACTCCCTTTTGAGATTTCATCTCTTCATCCATGGCAAATTGATGATGGCTTCTTTATATGAATGAAGTTTTGAGACTCGAAAAGATTGTGGAACTTGAGGGGCTCAAGCACGCAAACTTCTATCAGATTCATCACATCCTTTTTCAGTCATGTCAAAGTTTAATTGATCATATACTTTTGGATGTGGTACAGAAGCTCATCCAAGCAGAGTAAGAGCATAACTCAAGAACATCCTCCTCTCTCCTCCTCCTCCTCACTATCAATGAATGAGGAAAAATCAATGGGAGGATCAAGGGTTGGAGATGACAACATGTCATTTCTATACATGAATTGAGGTTTGATTCCCAAGTAGGATTATTTTGGATATGATGATAACCCTTTTAGAGATGGGATTCATCAAATTTTACTATGATAGCAGGCCTCATTATAGACCACCAAAAAAAGCATATATATTACAATCATTAATCCTTTTTGGTCTCTAAAGACTTCAATACAGCCATAAACTTTTAGAAGTGCAAGATTTTGCAATCATCGTATTAGGAATAAGAATGACATATGATGTAGATCTTGGTGGAGTCACAATTTTTGCAAAGTTTGTTGGATTTCAAAGCCCTAAATAAATTGGTGGCTGTTGTGTTCTTGTTATTGATTTTGAGGTTTTGCCTTTGCAGAATATATGAGGCAAATTTCCATGATGAGTTTAAAAAGCTTTATGATTATTTCAAAGGCAGGTTTCAATTTTATAGCATGCCACTGCAAATAATTCTGAACAATTAACTTTTACAAACTGAAAGCCCTGACTTAATGGCTCATTTTTTAGAGTTTTGCCAAATTACTTAGTCCTCCACCACCACTTGTAGAGCTTCGGACAAAGTTGAGATCAAGTGAGTCATTCATAGATTACATAGCTTAGTTTATTCATTTCTTCCTTTGCATGAATATGGTATCAAAGCTGGCCAGTTTTTAAAAAATTGATAGGCTAGTTCACTTGGCAATTGACAATATGAAAGTGATGGAGTATGGCCTTTGGAAATTGCTGCTTTGACATTGATGAGGGGACAATTTATTTCAAAGGCCTTGATTTTATGAAGAAGGATGAATGTTAAAATTACACCATGATGATTATCTGGGAGTCTATAGTGTGATAGTGTCTTTTCAATCACTACCAAAAGGACCTCACAACTTTGTTTCATGCAATTGAGCATTCAGAGGAGGGATACAAACTTGATGTAGTAGTAACTCCAAGACAGCAACAAGCAGTGATTAACTTTGCCCTAAGCTCCATGATATTAATTGCTGTCTACTCATCTTAGTCATTATGTTCGCATTGCTTGTACCATTGAGGACATGTCCAAGCATCTTGATGCAGTTGAGAGGGGAGTTAAAGGCGGAAGTGGAGATTTCTCAGTGTTTCTAGTTACTGAAGGCTTTAACTTGTTTGGGCCAGATATCAATTTCTTCAAGCATGTAGGTGACAGGGTAATCAGGTTCTTTGTGCAAGTGAAGGCCAGTTCAAAAGTGATAATGTGCAAGTGAAGGCCAGTTCAGAGGTGGTAGTGAAGGCCAGCTCAAAAAGTGGTAATGTGTGTGTTGCCAGTCTTGGGACATGCTGGATATCAAGAGAATACAAAGTCACTCTCTTCGAAGTGGTGAAAAAGTTATAGAGGATGTGTAAGGATGGACATGTCATGCTTATCATGGCCATAGAAGATGTTGAACTGGACAACGTGCTAGGATATATATGATTGCTACGAGGGCAAGTTCAATTGGCAGAAGAAGGAAGAAATATGAAGAACTTTTCCAGAAGAAACTCATTACTTTTAGTATGCAATGCAGGTGTACTAAAGGGAAGGTACCTAAACAAATTGAAGAACAGAAAGCAAATTTGAACTTCTTAGTTTATATCCATGCCAATTGCTACAAAATTTTACTGTGAAGTAGCCTCCAAACCTCCAATAGAGAAATTGATCACTTTTGCGAGTGATTGGGTGTGTTTATCAATTTGCATAGTTCGTGGCATTGAGATACCTCTGCCGCCATCTCATACACAAAGGCCTTGCAACTTCTTCACGAAGTCCTCATCACCGTGGGTGCTTTGTTACTGTCCCATCCCGCCCCTACATATTGAACTGGAATTGCCAAGAACAGGAATGAACACATGTCTAGAAATGTTTGCCCCACTCTTCAAAATCAGCATGGTCGAGTGACTTCTCCGGTTGCTCAACAGTATCCTCTGGGCAAGCTTCGAAGTTCGGATCTAGAGAAACAATATCCATGTCGTGGGTAATACTGGCAGACCTTACACTGCACAATCCCTGGTAAAGAGAGAAAGTGTCAATTGCTCATATGAAATCGCTCACCTTTGACAGCTTTCTGAGAAACCTTCAGAGACGAACGATATGGCTGGAACTTGAAGTCGGGATAAGAGTCCGGAAGAAGTAAAGATTTGCCACGCATGAAACGGCTGCCGGGCGTCGCGTACGAGACGTTCCCTTTACCAGCAGAGTAGGATGACAGACACATTCTTGAGCTTGGTATTGGGCTTTGGTGTTGTCCTCGTCCGCCAAGGCAGCAACTAGAGCTCGCTTGCCAATGGCTCCGTCAGGAGAGATCTTTTGATCGATCAGATGGAAGGTAACTTCCAGTGATTCGATCTTGTGGAGAGGATACTCCATCTTTGGCACCAGCCGAAGAGCCCTGCCACAAAACTCCCGACTGCGGCCGTTCAATTCCAGTCCGGATAATGAAGTACCACAGAAACCCGGTCTTGCCCACGCCGGAAGTCCCGTTCAAATGGGACAGCCGGACGAACTCGAGTGCCTCGAGCACACGTTGTATAGAACGCATCGCAAACTTCCCTGACATCGATCACTCTTTGTCCGCCCACCATTCCGCCACCTCTGTCGATCTCGCCATCTCAATCTAGGTATCTGGCCTTGTCGTGCCTTTTAAACCCCCTTTGCTTTACCCTTTGGGTGTTCTTCCCAGATGATGAATCGGCTGCGCAAATGCTGCTGCCCGGGAATCGAAATCCATCACGGCACGCCCGATCCAGCTCCATCGGCGCCTGGTCCCTACGCGAATGTGGATTCCAGGCTGCGAGCGCTCGCTAGGGCCGCGCAGGGATTTGGGAGCGCATCCATCGGCGGCCTGGAAGGAGCGGTCTACCATGTCACGACCCTTGCCGGTGAGGATCCTGTGTTCTAGGCAGCGATTATGAGCTAAGGTCTTTATTTCTCTCCAAGACGATGGGCCTGGGAGCCTCCGCTATGGCTGCCGCCAAGAACAGCCTCTCTGGATCGTGTTTGATCTGTCTGGAAATATTTCGGTGTCGTCGGCGATCCGCGTAGCGTCGCGCAAGACTCTCGATGGCCGAGGCCAGAGGATCAAGATCACCGGGCACGGCATCCAGCTCAAGAAATGCGAGCACATCATCATCTGTAACTTGGAGTTCCAGGGGGGCCGCGGCCACGATGTGGATGGAATCCAGATCAAGCCAAACACCGAGAAGGTGTGGATCGATCGATGCTCGCTCTCCGACTACGACGATGGGCTGATTGACATCACAAGGCAGAGCACCGACATCACGGTCTCCAGGTACACAGTTTGACTGAAGAGTTCTCTTACTTGTCTCTCGTTCCAGGTGCCACTTCCACCACCACGACAAGACGATGCTCATCAGCGCCGACGCAAAGCACATAGAAGATCGAAACATGCGAATCACGATCCACCATTGCTTCTTTGACGGCACAAGGCAGAGGCATCCCCGGGTAAGGTTCGCCAAAGTCCACCTTTACAACAATTACACGAGGAACTGGGGTATCTACGCTGTGTGCGCTAGCGTTGAGTCTCAGGTACTTCCAAGCTTGCTTCTTTTTCATCCTTTCCTTTGACGTGTCTCTCTGTCTGTAGATATGCTCGCAGGGCAATGTATACCAAGCAGGATCAAAGAAAAAAGTATTTGAGTACTACACAGAGAAGGCAAGCATTTACCGCAAGGAATTCACAGCGTTTACAACAGTTTCTTTGCAGGCTCTCGACAAAAACGAAGCTGAGTGTGGCTGCGTCTGCTCAAGCGGGGATGTCTTTCTAGGTGGAGCGCAGTGGGAGGCCAGAAATCCACACCAAGTCTTTCGTCCCGAGAGCTGCTACTCCAATTGCACGATAGAAGCTGCAGGGCCAGAGCTCGTGGACAAAGTATGCAAGATTGCGGGATGGCAAAACGTACCACTTCCTCCAGATTGGTAGTCCACTCCCGGGCACGTGACAGTTTTTTATAAAAAGGCGGTTAAAATAAAGCGAGGTATCGAGTTGACTAAGCGTGATTAATTAGTGGGGATGAAGAAGCAAAGATTAAGTGAGTAAATGAGTGGTGTGATAGAGAGTCATATTAATGTTACTAATGATGTTAGTGCATAGAAGGATGAACTTGCAACAATTACCATTAGAGTGAGGAGGCATGGCAGCAGTGGTTCTTTGTCTGCTCCAGATCTTTTGGTGCACAGCCCATGAATCAAAAAGTGAGCATGAAGAGTGGGAGAAAAGTGAGTGTTACACATCCTACTCAACTTTTTCCAAGTTGAAGGCCATCTTTGTTCCAGTGTGGGAAGATGTACCAATTCCAACAATGGTGACAACCAAGATGAAGTACACTACTTCCAACATGTGATGGCATTTGATAATACATCCATGGCAAATGATGAAGCAGCAGAAGTAGACTGCTGCAATCTTTTTCCAGGGAGTAGCAGCTTAATGGATGACACAAGTCCTGGCAAAAACAGATTGGGCAGCATTGCACACATAATTTTTAGTAGCTTTCTGGCTTGTGGGATTTTCCTGATTAGGAATGATGTGTGCAGTGCTGCCCAATCCGTTCCTGCTGGCACTTGTGCCATCCACTCAGTCGCTACTCCCTAGAGTGTTGTTGGAAAAAGCTTGCACTGGTCCGCTGCTGCCACTTCATCATTTGCTGTGGGTGTATCTTGAAATGCCGTCACATGTGCATTCAGGATCTCCTTTCCTATTGAAAGTAGTGTACTTCATCTTGGTTGTTGCCATCACTGGAATTGGTTCTTGCACTTGCTGTGGTGGACTAGAAGGTGGTGAAGATTGGAAATCTTGCCACTTGTCTTCTTCTTCCCACTTGCTCTCATGGCTGGTAGGCAAAGAATTTTCTCTTCTTGCCCTTAAGTTATCTAGTTTGTTCTCCTCGACAAAGAGTGGATTCCTCACAAGAAATCTCACCTCTCTAGAAAACACACTCCATTCTAACTTCTGTAAGAACGCTATTAAACACTGTTAAACCCTTTTAAATGTTTCAGCCTAGGTTAACCTTTACCATCCTCTTTATATCTCTTAGTCCTAGCCAAATCTCCTAAAATCAGATTGCAAATCTTTATTTGTGCTTTGTCTCCTTAAATTGCAAAGGAATATCCTAGTGGATTTTTTATCCTTACCCTAATGCCATGTGGATTAAAACACACTTTCAACTATTTCCAGGATTTGAATGGTACAATTGTACCACCTTACCACCATTTAGGATGCAATGCCAATTACATCTTCACCAAAATGTACAGAACCAACTCGCCAAGGTGTCGTAGGCTAAAGGATCCCCGAAAGTATGACCAAAATGACAAAGAGTTCATCGGATGGCACCAAGTCGAAGATCGAGTCTAAGACCGACTCTGAGACCGAGTTCGAGATAGAGTCCGGGATCGAGTTCGAGGCCGAATCAGAGACCGAGTTTGAGACCGAGTTCGAGACAGAGTCCGAGATCCAAATCGGGTCCAAGACCGAGTCCGAGGTCGAGTCCGAAGTTGAGTCCAAGATCGGGTCCGAGATCGAGTTCGAAATCGAGTCCAAGACCGAATCCGAAGTCGGGTCCGAGATCGAGTCCGAAATCGAGTCCTAGACCGAGTCCGAAATCGAGTCCGAGACCGAATCTGAAGTCGGGTCCGAGATCGAGTCCGAGACCGAGTCCGAGTACTAGTATAGGTCAAGGGGTGAAAGCCCAAAGCGTGCGTGTCCCGGGGGGGGGGCTGTAGGGGGTTCCAAAAGTATAGTAGGGATAGTGAGGTCCAGGAACTAGTCTTGAAGGAACTCTCCAATGGTGCTTCCAAACTGACTTGAGGTTGAGACTGGGGCCGAGGGGCCTTGGGTGGGAGTGAGCAGGGACTTGGGTGGTGCCGGAGGGGCCACCCCAGGAAGTGCTCAAGAGCAGTTCCCACTCCCAAAAGGGAAACCGACTGTGGTGCTCCTAGCTCATGTGGAGTGGTGCCCCACTTGAGTACTATGCAGCTCATTGGTCCTCGCCCTTCCTAGGGGCTTGGGCCTTCCTTCGGGATGGAAGGGGGGGGGGGGGTTAGAGGTACCTATACTGGGCCGTTAGGCCATGGTGTTTTGCCCTGGCGTCCCGAAGCAAGTGTTGCACCCAAGACTTAGGATTTAGAGGGTCCCATAATCAAGTCTTATGGTACCAAAGGGTGTTAAGAACCTAGAGGTTTGGTGTGCTTGGCTGCTTGTACCTGCGAGGAGTGTAGCTGATCCTTAAGTCTAGTCTAACCCGGGGAGGGGGATTGGGAGAGATTTGGGAATCCGTGGATGGATGGCTAACGCTCTGTTGCTCGTGCAGTGAGTCGCTGAAACCAAGTAGGACCAAGTAGGAGCTGGTACCATAGGCGGTGTAGTGCATGTGATTATGGGATGAGATTTGGATATACTGCTACCATGGATCCTTGGAACCTTGGGGAATAAATGGGGATAAAATAGCCACTAAGGGCTCTCTCATCAAGCAATTGCCCCTTTTCCAGTTGGCTTAAAGGGAGAGAGATAAGGTGCGCTATAGTTGGTATCGGAGCAAATGGCACGGGTTCGATTCCGATTGATTATGTGAGACACAAAATCCCTAGGCCCCAAAGTGGAGCCAGAAGGGTGCCACGTGGTAGTGGCCGAAGCGAAAGCCAAACAAGCATAGCACGTTTGGACTAAAAGCTCCGACTTGAGAGGTCAAGAGCGGGAGTGGAACTCCCAACAAAGTGCTCAAGGAGCGAGCACGAAGTGAACAATAAGCAAGGCTCCAAAAAGGGACCCAAAAAGGACCAACGCATGACACGTGGAAGTGTCCGAGATGGACCCGAAGTGGAGTCCAAGATGGACCCGAGATGGAGTCCGAGATGGACCCGAGATGGAGTCCGAGGTCGAGACCAAGACCGGGACCGAGATCGAGACCGGGACCGAGACCGAGATCGAGACCGGGACCGAGACCGGGACCGAGACCGAGACCGAGACCGAGACCAGGACCGAGACTGAGACCGAGACCAAGACCGAGACCGAGACCGGGACCGGGACCGGGACCAAGACCGAGGCCAAGGCTAAGACCGTGGCCAAGGCTAAGACCAAGCCCGAGCCCGAGTCTGAGTGGGGGAGGACTGCAGTAGAGCCAGTTTGGCCAGGAAAGGCCAGTTTGGCCCAGGAAGGCCAGACCCAGTGTTGGGTGATGAACTGACCATTGGGAAGTCCAAGACTAGAGTGAATACGGACCGACAAGCGGGGTAGCTTGGTGAAGTGTTCAAGAGCCGGCTCTAGTTCCCCCGGGAGATCGACTGGCCGATGCTCCCAGTCCAAGTGTGGGTGGCACTACTTACTTGGATACCAGGCGTGGCTCAACGGAACCTCGCTCTAAGCCCATGGCTAGAGCACCTAAAGGCGATAAGTGGGGAGAGTACCCAGGTGGCTCGCGTAAGGCCACGGTGTTCCGAAATGTCGTCCCAAAGGCCCAGACTGTGGAAAGGAAGAGGAGCAGTCCTCTGGGGTAGTGACCAAGGACACAGCCGTGTGGTGAGGAAGTCCCAGAGGACCGTGGGACTTAGTGGTCGGGCCTGTGGGCCTCGATCCAGTGGCAGTGTTGTCAAACACGGCCAGGGGCAGAAAGGGACTTGGTAGGAACTGACAAAGGGACTTTGGGGAAGGCGACTCCCCAGGTCTATGGGCATCCTAAGGCTGCTAAGGAGTGGATCTAGGATGACTCCTCGTGGACAGATGGCCCAGTCTTGGAGAGACGGGATGGTGATGCAAGTGGTATTGGACCACTAGTGCAGCAAAGGTGAATGGGCATGGCCTTAGTGTAACGGGCCGAGATGTCAGTGGTACCTTTGGGTGTCGGTCATGGGATTGGACACGTGGAGCACTTGGACCAAGTGCAAAGGTTGAGTGGCATGGATGCCATTCTCGGGGCTAGCAAGCCCCAAGTCCTGAATGGGACTTATGGAGGTTGTGAATGAGACTCCTCCAAGTGGTCGGAGGTGTGGTTAAGTGACTAAAGTAGAATGGAAAAGTTAGTCACTTACAACTTGGTATCGGAGCTGTTCCTTAGTCCGACTTTTATTGGTGCTCAAGTATATCACCATTAATGTTGGCATTGGAAGGTCCTAGGAGGGGGCCTATCCTTGAGGAGTAGCATGTCGAGAGGACATGGCTCTCCACTCGAGTTCATGCATGAACTTGGGCGCGATGTGGTGGATAGAAAAGGGGCCAGTAAGGGAACGACTTTGGGATCTTGGGAACAGTATAAGGTTTCCTCAGAGAGCTGAGGATGTGATCCAGATGAGCATTTGATGCAGCAAACGGGCTAACGTAGTTGTGGTAAACAACTATAATTGGGATCACAGGAAAGATGTAAACTCCAAAATAATAAAGGAGTCACAAGATTACCCTCATATAGTTGAGGCCGGTGCTCATAACTTTGAGACCGGAATTGATGACCATGGGAGGTCAAATATAGGAGAGGACACAAGTCCTCGAAATGGTAGCTGAGGTTACCCTTGATAAATGCTAGAACAACCCAAAGAGTTGGGGATGTACTTAGAGGATGAGTTGGTATTCTCATCACATGGACAAGTGGTCCTAAGAGGCAAAAGGTTGCCCCAAGAGAACAAATCAAGTGTCGGAGTAACACTTGCAAAGATGGTCCTTGTGAGTAGGACCTGAATACAAGAAGTTGTATTCAAGTGAGCTGGCACCTCAAAGGTAGGACCTCATGGGTCGTCAGATGACAAAGTCCAAAAAGCTGGATGACTCCAATAGAGTCAAGGAATAATCCTAAAGGATTGATGGAAGCATTTGGACTGAGGTGTGTGGTACCCCACAAAGGATGGGGGGGATCATAGGATCCAAGGATGAGAACAAAGGGTATCTCATCGATGGCAAAATGTGCCATGCTAAAGTCGTGGGAAGGGTGTTCCCAAAAGAAAACAACTTTGAAACAAAGTTGTGTGTGACCTCTATGGTGCAGTGCTAACGGATGGTTGGCATGAGAAAGAGTGGTATTGGTCTTGGCAAAGACTTAGACACAAAGAAGAAGTGTCATAGAGGTAGGCTCGTGGAGCTGATGGTGTGGAGACACCAAATGTGCCAAGGTGTGATA